CAGCACTTCTCTTGGACCTTCCTGCTGCACCTCTCTGCTGGAGGTTACCAGCCTTCGGCAGATGCATGGAGGCACCGGCTGGGTGGTGCAGATAATTATTGTGCAGTTATACGATGATTTCACTGTGAAGTAATGTGCCCACTGTAAATAACAGCAGCTAAAGAGAAAACACGCTCTGCCATCCTTACTGCAAGGCTAAAACATGGCAGTGTGCTAGTACTGCAATCCCTCCAGCGATTAAATCCATCAGGGCTCGTGAGAGAGAGCCCTGGGAGAGGAAATTGTATTTGGCAACATTATAAGTAATTGGAAAGAGAATCTGTTAATGGAAAGTGTAGCATAGTCTTTCCTATAGGAATCTCTCTGCTGGTACAATCTCTAGTATGTTCGTACTTGCAATTGTAGGCGTAGATACACAAAATAGTTAGGAAGTGCAATATACTATTAATGCACTTGATAAAATTCTGAAAGAACTTAAAGAAACACTGCAATTATTGTGATTTATGTTGATGCATATCATTTTATAACACAGCTATAAGCAAATTTTCAGCAATACATTTCTTTTACTTTACTAGGTATTTGAAGAAGCAAAGAAACAATGACATTGCATATCCATATATGGGTATGTACCCACAAGACATACAAAACTAAAAATTGAAAATATTATCTCAGAATTTCCAGATAAAGCATCATCTACCCTTTATACGCTACAATATCTTTGTATCTGTAATATAGACTTAAATGTAAAATATGAACTAAAGAATAAATGATTACTCATGAATAAATTACTATTATCCAGCTGTGTATTTAATAAAGAATATTTTAAAAATTGTTAAATTTTCTCTTTTTCATTACAATGCAATATTTCAAAAAACTCTTTTCCTAGTTTGACCAAATCTGACACCTAGCTATTAACAATGTTGGATTAGGAGCTTGCTACTTATAGATAAAGCAACTGCTAGTGTGAGATGACTTTTTGAAAAGTAGAATTTGTATTGCTTTTGGCCACGTTTAATTTTGTGTTAAATAATGGAAGCAGCTAATTAAATGGCACCTTATCTAACGTGCAGCAGACTCCTGGTAGAGAATTATTTTGGTCTTCTCTGGTTTGATTATAGTAACCAGAATTTTTGGCATGTATTTTGGCATTTATTTTAAGACGTGTTTAAAAAAGCCACTTCTTACAACAGCATGAAACAAACAAAGCATTCAGCAGAAAGTCCGCATTGAAATGTGCTATTGAAATCATCTCTCAGCAACAGCGGTGTGATAGTCATGCTAGTCCCAGCATACCAAGATATCATCTCTGAAGTGATTTAAAGATAACGGAGAATATTTCTTTAAAAAATCATGGCTATGACTACCTCATTACTTTAACATAGTAGATAGCAACTTTTGTTCTTTAAAATGGAAACTGTACAGTAGTCCTGATGAAGGGATAGCAGAACCAAAATTTTACTTGCTTTTTCTTCTCTCTTGTTTGATTGTACATGCCTAGTAGAAAACCATTACACTTTTGGAGTTTTTCACATTTCCACTGCAAGACTATTTGAGTTAGGCGTCCTCTGAATGCTCTGGCCTACTATATCTATGCTAAATTCACCGTCAGCAATTTCATGCCTCAGGGAGAGCACATCCAGGATAAAGAGTATAGTCAGATTAAGAGCTGTTAAATGGTATCTAAGCTGGTTAGAACTGTGGGCCTGAGACCAGTTTCTTTACGCTGTCTTGGTGTTTGTTGTTAACTGCCGATATATGTTTGAGAATGTAATACCCAGATAAAGTGTTGGCAGACATCCTGGTTTGGGAACGATGCTAAGATTCTCATACTGTTCCTCTAATTCACCTAATTATATTGATAGCTTAAATATAAAACTCCGTTGTCAAATCTGGCTGTTTCCAGCATTTTCTCTATAATTTGATTAAGTTCAGTTTCCGAAGTGAGGTAAAAGTCTGCTTCAGAGAGTTTATTAAAACGAGTCAAACTGAAGTTTACAAGGTTATCCCATTACAGATAAAAGATCTCATGGAACCTGGGGCTGTATTAGGTCATAAGCAATTATATTTCTTTCCATTACAAGTTTAGGGTATTTTATAAAATATGGGTACTTGCAAAAAAAAAATAAATCCTTGCATTTTGACAAAAATGAACTAGTACATGTATATCAAATATATAGGTAACAATTAACTTGATTTCCCACTTTGAGTTACCAGTATAATATATATACATAGTACAATTCTGATATTTTTGATAATGCAGCAACAGATAGAGATTTCAACTTTAACTTTACCCTGCCAACAAAAATCAGTATATGATTTGATAGCAACATTTGATGTATTTAAAGGCTTGGTGTTTGAAATTAAAATTATAATTTTTAATTTTTAAATTTAAAATTTTTAAAATTATGTCTTTCAGCTTTTTTAAAATGTATTTGATTTTCACTTCTAACTATGTGTTCAGTTTTGAAGGAATTTTTACATTGACTTGAGGTCATTAGGCATTTTTGCATGTGGTTTCAACTGACTTGTTCGTGCCGTATACCTTAGAGAACTTTATGTTGAATTATCTAGAAAAGGAAGGAAAGAATTTTCTTACTCATATTCTCAGTCATATTTTAACTTAGCAATCGAGCTTGTCTACAAGAAGGTACTTTTTCAAAGTTCCTTTTTTGCAAACAGTTCCAAGGGATAAAGGGACCATGGAAACAACAAACCATCAAATCTCTGGGAAAGCAAAGTGTGACTTTTTTTTTCAGAGGTAAGTGTGGAACAAAACAAGGATGAGAAGTAGAGAGATTCTAAACCTATACAACAGTTCAGTTTTTCCACTCCTCCAAACTGCTTGCAAGTCCGTCAGTTTTCAGAATCATTACCATTAAAGAGTTACTTTAGGGATTTGTTTCTTATTATGTAACACAGGCAGTATCACAAATATCACAAATATTCACTAACAAAATTTGAAGTCTAATAACCTTTCCATTCATAAAACCACTGTCAAGCTAACAATGAATATAAAACACGATAATTGTTTGAGAATAGTCTTTTTCTATTCTCTTGGGTGTTGCCTAAAACCAAGATGCTTCAGAGACTGCATGTTGCAATAGAGGCAGAACTATTCAACAATCTGCTTACACAGGCAACCACTCACCATGTACGAACAGGAAAACTTCTCTGTGTGTTTTGGAAAATAGAGATGACGTATAAACCTGTGTTCAGAGATTCAGAGCACGCCTAACAAGCAAATATTCATCTAGAACGGTTGTGTGAAGATTCAATTGTCTCATCACCAACAACTTTCAGACTTTGTTTTTTCTGACATATTCTAAAAAACCCATTCTCTTTCTCTAAGCCAAGCCCGTGCAGTAGGTGTTATTGGATTGAAGTGATTCCATAAAGCATATACAGGCTCTAAGGACAACTTTAGATCCTATTTCAAGGATGACTTGTCTAAAAATCATCAATAGTATCTCAAAAGCATTCTATTCTTTTCTTTTAAGGAAACAGCTCTGAATTCTTAAGTTATTGCCTTCTGTATGAAAATCAGATAGCCTCATGAGCCAACTAAATAGCATTCTTCTGTTTTATAATGTAAATAGAAATATTAAATAGTTTAATGCAAAGAAAAGGTTCACCTGTGATCTATTATACTTGTAATGAAAACATTCTGGGTGATAAATACTTGGTTGTTTTTCAGTATCTTAATTTTTTTACCCATTTGACTTTTTTTTGGCCAAATTCAATTACAAATCACCTGAAGAGATAAGTTTTGGGGTTTTTTCCCCACTTTTTCTTTTGGTGCTCTTTTTTCTAACTTACCAAATTAGGAACAATTAATTTTAATTTTTTTTCTGAAGAATTTTGTTTTAAATTCCTTACAATCATTGAACATCACATTAATGTTCTTTTTAGACATATTCTGTTCAATATTGCTAGCAAAAAGTCACTGATTTCTTAAATTCTTTGTATTACAGTTGGCAACACCAATTATGTGCTTTGATGTCACTTGAGGAATAACCTGTAATAATATCACATGTAAAAGTATTAACTTCAAATACTAGTCACATAGCACTCAATAAGACTACAAAATATACCTGTATTACTCCTTGCTATATGCAATTATGAAATGAGACAATATCTAGCAATCATGTCTTTCTGATTATAACGTGCAGTTTTTCAATTTGGTGTGTAAGAAGGTAGAAGATTTTCAAAATTAAAGGTAAAAAATGCTTTTTCTTTTGATTCTCTGTCCTGAAGACAATGAGGTGGGAAAAATCTTATCAACAATTTTTTTTAATGTCACAAAGGTACTACCACAATTAATTCTGCAAAATTAACTACATTACCCAACTATTGCCTGCCGTTCTTTTTTACATCATTAAAATTCACAGAGGTTGCTACAGGTCTGCTCACTCTTTGGGAAGTTCTATCAGGCAAAACATTAGCCATGATAAGATGTGCCTCTAAACATAAAGATCCCAATTTCGGTCTAACAGACATTGCCATAACCTTTTTTTTTCTTTTTTGTTTTCATGAAAACAGCTCATAAAGGTGAGAAAAGACAAACACAGTGCTAGAATATACTTATGTCTGTGAATTGTACTGTATCCAATGGGAGCATTACATTAATACTGAGCTGAAATTATCTGGATTTATACCTCTTTATTCAGCAGCAAAAATGACCAAATCTACTGTTAGATTTTTTTTTAAAAATATTCAGCACTTAAAGAATTGATTAATATAGTACATAAAAATAGTTTTATAGAAAAGGACAATTAAGCTATGTCTTTTATATTGTCCAACTTGATAGTTTTGTCAGCTTTGTGTGCACTGCATATTTTTTAATCTATATCATGTAACCAGTGGATAAATGAGTAGGGAAATGCTCATCTGTAGGATTAGGTAAGTAATTTTGCTATTTACTTTAGTGAGCTACCACGCTGAAGTAATTCACATCGATGAGTGTAGACTACAGCTGTTTCTAATTCCAGCCAGATATTTACCTCTCTCTGTCCGGGGAGTAGTGGTCATCTATTACACGGTGTCTATCCATTCGGTTCAGGGTATTGTAATGCGCAGGAGTAGATCGAGTCCCTCGTGGTCCCTGATCCACATTCCGACTAAGGATAAAAGATATCACATTCTGAGTTCTGGGTGCGCCTGGACCACATCCTCTCACTGGTTTGTACAGACAATTATTACCAAACGTGGTGGTAATGAGATGTGTTAGCTGACCTGTCTTTTGTATACTTTTATTCTGATATAATTTTAAATCTCATGGCAAAAAAAAAAAAAATTCTCCTACAGAAAAAAGGTGCTAAGTCCATGCTAGGGACAGGGTGTTTTTCTTTTGTTTCAATGTTTGTTTGTTCTGGTAATGAGAAGATAACATTTTTTTTTTTTAAATTAAAAAGGTTAATTTTAGATGAAATTTCAGTAGTCTTTCCAGACCAGTACCTTCAAGGAAAAATTCCTTTATAGCTTAAACATACATGCTAAAGAATTTGCCATAAGCTCCTTAATTTGGCTATACTGTTATAGTAGAGTGCAGCCTGCTGAAAACATTGTTGTCTGAATTGAACAACAGATGCTTGTTTTGCACTGGAAAGCTTATTCTGTAATCTCACTAGCATAGAATCTGAAAAAGACAGAACTGTTTAATTAGGTATAAGTGGTACACAGAGTGCAGGCTTCGTTAAAGAGCACCAATCACCTTTACAGTCATGTACTATCTGAGACCAAAGCTTTGCCCATCAGTTGCTTTACTCAGTTTAACCATTGACACCTACTGATACACACTAATCACTTTTTCTGCTCTGTGAAACAAGTCCACCAGAATAGGAAGATAGAAAGACAACAGTTAACTGTAATAATTCTTGGATAAGTAAAACATAATTGTTTTGTATACATTTGAAAACAACAGTTTGCATGCTTCCCTCCACACGGATTCAAATTTTAGACCTATAAATTCTTCTGCCTCCTGTCCTTTCCTGCAGTTTTCCCTAATGTGGGCCTCATTATAATTTTTTTTCACTTTTATACCATTCAATTCCTGTGTCTTTCCTTATCACTTTCTTCACCCTTTTGGTACCTGTCATCTTTATCCTTTGTCATTTGCCAGTCCCTGATTAGTGTTAACCTCTATGTGTATCCTTCACTGCTGCTGCCATGCTGTTATTTATTTCTGCATATAAGTGCTATGAAGATGTTGAACTACACATAATCTTTTGCCTTCAGCTCTACTTCATCGCTTATATAGCATTTCTCCACTCTGGCTTTCATGGAAACCCAGTAAAAACTTTACTCTTGCCATATTAAAAGTCAGTATAATTGTTCTACCTTCCACTCTCTAATGCTTTCCTGCAACAACTTCTCTGCACATGTTTTAACCATGTTATTTATACAAAATGATAGAAAATCCAGTATAGCCTTTACCCTGCCATTGGACTCTTTCATGCATATTTGTACACTAAAACGGACATTGGCAGGGCTCCTCTGCTGTTCTTTGTTAACTTTTTTACAACAACCAGTTCTCATTCCTCCTTTCTGAATTCTAGTTTCTCTCCGACCCTTTTCCTCAGGGTGTCATTTTGTTCATATTTTTAAAAAAAAACCTAAACTTGAGTTTTTTTCTGTCTATAGGATTATCATCTTATCTCTTCTTTTGATTTTAATATTTAAGCTTTCTCAAGGTGTCATTTCTTTGCAAAACTTCCCAAAGATCTGATCTTTGCTGTCTGCCCACACAATCAAAACTCCTAACTAAACTCTGATTATAAGCCTTAGTCCTGAAAACTCACTACCATCCTGTCTGCTCAAATCACTTTCAATAAGATTGTGTTATTGGCTTATTGTTCTAAATAAATAATTTCTTCTTTAAATTTCTGTATTACATCAGATTCTGACTTCATGCTGCTTTTTAACATCCTACGCTACTGTATTTCTTCTACTTCAGAGTGTTACTACTATTTCAGTTATTTCACTCCGCTAAGGATACCTTTGTTAGCCAGATTTACTATTTAACGGAAAATTACACACTTTCTCCAATGATGAAACTTGTTCTATAAGAAAAGTTGCTTTCCCAACATATGTTGTCACTCCTTTGGAACTTTCCTGAAGTTGACAGAACATGTACGGAGCAACCAGATAACAGGTAAGCAAGTGAAAAGGTGTAATTGCAGGTGGTGATGGTAGAGAATAATGAGCATCCTACTAAATTTACCACACCATTTTGGTCTAGCCACTTTCTACAGTCACCTTCATCTTGCTTTTTCAAATGCACAGTCTTAGAGAAAGCTAAACATGATGTTGTTCAGTGCCTGCCACAGTCTGATCTATAGAGAGAATAGTAGTCCATTAAATATATTACCTGAAAACATCACAAAAGGAGTAATAAATTATTGTCAGCTGCTCTGCAATGTGGCTTTGGTGGAGTTTGTTAATAAGCTCCAGTAGAAGGACTGAGGACTGCAAAATGGCTTCTAAGATATAACAGCAACTTGTGCCTCTATGGCCCAACGAGCTCCTGCCTGCAGAGGCATCAGTCAGTGAATGGGAGATCTCTGGCCCTGCAGCACGTTTACTGCACTTAGAACACATCAGTAGCAGCACACGTGTAACAAACTCAACTAAATGTGGGGCAACTGTGATTAACAACACTTACAGCTTTGCGAAGTACACCTGCATTTGCATTAGAAATGAAAAAGACGTTTCTGTAACCCAAGGATTATGCCGCTCTTCTACAAACTCTCAGGTTCTGGCAATCCGATTCTCTGGGCTTGACAAGTCCTCAGAGAAATGATTTGGTGTGTGGGCAAGGAAATATTACATAAATAATGCATTTGGATGTGACTTTGTAGGAAACAGCTGAAACATTTCTCTGTAAGTTCAAAATTGCATTTAAAAATCTAGCTCTAGGAAAGTCAGGAAGCAAGAAACATTTCCTACATGTAAAGAAATGCAAAATTACAAGGAAATTAAGAGAAGGTTTTTCAATGGTTTTAGACAAGTGTTAATTACTAGCTTGAGTAGAAGTTCTGCCCAAAATGCACAGAGCATGCAAGCACACACAAACACACACACACACGCACAGAGCTTTTGTTCACATTTATGTCTATATCCAAGACAAATACCGCCAGGAGATTTAACACAGGCAATTACTTAGACTGAAATCAGTATAGTAGAAATTAGAATAGGCCCCTCTGTGTCTACTGTTTATGTCTCATTTAAAGTCAGGCTGTATTTACGTATGGTTTTAGATTTGAAGTAGAAACTTACAGTTTCTGCCTGTTAGCTGTCTGTGACGATATGGGATAATTTGGGACTGTAATACCTCACTAATGCAAAAGGATATCATTTAGTCTGTATCGGTTAGAGGAAACGGTAAGTAAACACGGAAGTAAGAGAATACGAAGTCAAGAGAAGTTTAAGCTAACAAAAAGAACAAAGGTAACAGAAAGGAAAGCAGAACACAAGAGAATCAGAATGGCTGTAGAAGAAAGGGATACACACATGTACCTGACTGGAAATATCAGATATCAGGTAGTCAGTATTAAATGGGAAATGTGAACATTATGGGCAAAGAAAAAAACTTCCTCTTTTATTCCAGCTGAATTACACCAGCTGGAAAACTACCCACACATAGTGACAAAAATGCTGGAAAACAGGTTTTGTTTCCCTTACAGCTATCCTTCTGCTTCCTTTTAAGAAAACTTATCAATGCAGGAAAATTTTTAATACTGGCTTAAACAGTATATTCAGTCAAGTAACAGTCGTAATCCCAAATGGCTAGCTTTTGGAATAAATGTCCTGATCTTTGTTTGACAAGATAAATAGTTATCACAGGCTTTCTAAGATCAGGAATTGACATTTTTCAGTACAAAATTGTATATGTGTCAATTTAGTCCTGATGTTTTACAAGTTTGAAAAAAATAGTAGATAGAAAGCTACTACAAGCAGGAAGTATGGCTCTCCCAGAACCTTAATTCTAGGCAAACAAAAGGGTTGAAACCAGCCACTGACAAATGAATGCTAAGAAAATGTCAAACTGTCACATGCTATAAAACATGGCACCTTCTAAATAGCTCTTGAAAATGAAAATCTGGAGAAATATTTTTCTTTCATTGGATTGGAATGTACTGATTTTTGACAAAAAATAAGACAAAAATAGGTGATTTTTTGCACATCAGTATAAAGAAGAAACATTATTGGCTTTACATAATTGCATAAGATCCATCTAATCCATTGCCATTTTGAAAGTCAGGAGATTCTTTCCAGTATTGTTACAGGATCGATACCACTTAAATTTATATACCTGCATAGTTAAATAACAATTTACCTTTGTGGGGGAGGGACACTGGGAGACCACGATCTAGTCCGTCCTATACTATCTCCACGGTGAGGGGACCCTGATCGAGAGCAATGATTAGATGACATAACTTGTTCTGGCACTGATAGCGTTGAACTTTGAAGATCTCTCCCATTGTGTCGATAATCTAAAAAGAAATGCAAATATTCAATGAATCTGAAATCGCAGTTTTTAATTTCCTACCGTATCTGTAGCAGCTGGAAGCATGATACAAGATAGAATTTGATCAAGAATGTTATCATGTCTTCTTCTTGGTTTTTGTAATAAAAAATACATACATAAAGTTAACTCCTCTTGTTATGCTTAATTTAAGCACAGCTATAGTTCCTATAGATACACTTTAGAAGTATAGAAATAAATTGCCATGCACCAAACTGGGGATTTATAATAATCAAAATATCCAAATTTACCATTTATTTGTGGTTAATATGATGCATTAATAATAAAACTAATAAAACTGACTTTTTCCTTAGAATAACATACAAAACTTCAAATAGAAATGTCCACAATTAAAAACTAATCCAAAGTTCAGTTTAAAAATTTGGGATAGGAAAATACTATGGGGTTAAATGCAGAGTTTGGGTTCAAGAAAGATTTGTATTTCAGACACAATTAAAGTAACAGTGACTCAATGACAGATTTCACTCACAAGTCTGAACAACACGATTCCTTCACAAATATACAAGCTAAGGCCATGCAGACACCTGCTTACATCCTGGAACTAATCTTGAATTAGGATAACAGAAGGCATAAATGGTCTAAGCAAAAGCTTATAGTAGCTTAAAATGCTACCACATGGACATTTTACGTAAGCTGTTAAGAAAAACCTTTTAAAAAAGCTGGATCTATTAAAGTGATTGTCTGCGTCAAATTGAAAAAGATGAATTCACTGTCCCATGGTACAATACCCTCTATGAAAAAATAGATGCCAGATAAACTGCAGTTTCAAAGAAGTTTTCACAAATTTTGTGAAGATCAAATTAATATACACTGATAAGAAATGGAAAAATTGCAAATCTTAACCTGATGATAATGCTTTGCAGAAATAGGTCTTCAAACAGCTCCTGGTGGCTATGACAACTGATATAATGAACTTTTTGTTCTGAAGACAGTAACCAAGTAACTCTTTAGACAGTTTTAGACATCCACCTGGCACTGGAAAAATTCTTTCTCATAAAACTGTAATTCTTTTCCCATGAGAAGCTTCTGAGAATCCAAGAGCATTTGGACTTCTACTCCAGATTGTTCATAGTTTTATTCCTGGAAAATGTTCAGTAAGCACCTAAGCAAAACCTCATTAATTCAGTCCATTTTATGGTTCCAAGAACGTTTGATAGTTCCAACTAAGTATTCCTATTCATTGTATGCCTTTAGGACCAAGGATATGTATGAACCACTCTAATTCATAAATAACTTCTTCCTCCTATCTTTAGGTTTAGGCTGCCTTGTGCGCGTGTATGTGTGGACATAAAGGGAAAAAATAGCACATCATCATCACAGTAATACAATGATGTTGAGGATCAAATACTCCCTCATCACTTCAAAGCAATCAAGTCATGTTACGTGTAGTCTCAGGTGAGAGCCTGTAATGCACTACGGACTTTTACCCAGTGTATGAAGTAGACTTATTAGCACACACACTGATACAGCGTGTAAGGACCAATGCAACACAGTTCTGGGTGAAATCACCAGAGGAGAGACGGGGGAATTTATCTGTGTTTGAAACAGGGTGTTGTTCACTAACCAGTCAAGTACAAAGCTACTGCTGTGACAAAGACATTTTCACCTCTGAAGAAAAGAAACAATGCTTACTTTAATTAAGAGGAAAGGCCATAAAGTCTGGTGGATAAAAGGGAATACAAGCTTAAGCTAGTTACGGGACTCCCCTCCCACAACAAGTTAAAGGAGATATTCGTTGGGAGAAAGGGAATCTTGCTTTTCTTAAGTGCCACTTTACTACAAATACGTATCACCAAGGCATTCATCAACCAAGGCTATCCCAATCCATAAAGGAGCCATTAACCACCCTCTGGAAGACATCCACTGGAGTACCAAGCATATACCCGCTCCATGCAGCTGCACAAGACAAGTGGAGAGCTGGTATCAAAGGGTCAGCAGTGTTTCTCAGCAACTGGTGATACATAGGAAAACTATGGTATGTTATCAAGGTAGCCTTAAGCCTATTGTCTCCGTAGAATGGGTCACAGCAAAAAGAATATAGTATAAAGTCATCTTAAAACAAACACAACCAAATTTATTCTGTGAAGCACAGCTTGAACAGCTTGTTCACTAAAGGGGCAAGAAATTCAGACCCTGATATATACAGTTAGTAAAGTATAGAAGATCTCTGAATGGGGTTTTTGCAAGTCAGTCTGGAAATCAATAGACTCTGCAATTCTGCAAATCTTTAACTAAAAGAGAAAGAGCTAAAGTAACAGCTGAAAATTCAATAATGTTAAAATAAAAAAAGCAACAAAGCAATAACAAATTTCTTAAATAAACAAATCCATGAGATATTTCCTGGGTTTATACACTAAACGAATATTGTCCTCAATACAAAAAATAATGCACAGAGAACTCCTCCTTACTGATAAAACCAGCATTCTAGAGAACGCAGGGAAAGGCCACGTGAGATATTTATTTTAATTTGCCAGGAAGTTGGAAGAACGTGAAACGCACTGCAGAGCACAGATAGGCAGGAAAATGAAGAGGATCATTCTGCAGGTTCTTTGAAGACTCTGGTCAAGAAGTTACGAAAAGAAAAATTCTACAGGTAAGAAACAGGCAACCGAGGGAATGCAAGAGACCTGTGAAGAGCTTTGTCGGCCACCATCTGCTACCCCAGAGAGCAAAAGAGCTATAAGCAATTCTGAGAGTTAAGACCACAAGTGACAGCTCTGAAGACTGTTTCTGGATAGACTAGAAGTTATTTTTTCTATCCTTAAGTGTTATTTTTTATATTTTACTAATTTTAATTTATGGTATATATCACTAAGACAAGGAGTTTTGTGTTTCACTGAACGCATTAAAAGACATTGTCTACAGAGTAAGTAAGAAACATACTGAAATAACCAGCAGTTATTATGGTACAGTGTCATACCATATACTGAAATAAAACAATATCCCAAACCCATATTTTCTACAGAGAAGCCCAACTGAAATTGGAATAATTTAAAAGACTTGATTTTTCACTATGACAATAGGTGATTAATTGCAAACAACATTCTTACAATGCAAAACACATCTTTTCTAATTTCACAGTGAACAATTTATCCCAACAATGTTTAATATTTTCATTTAAAAAAAAAAAAAAAGAAAAATCTGGAAAATGGTTTGTCAGTTATTTTTTCTGATTATCTTAATTGAATGTTATTGTAAATAGCAACAAGAAATAAACAAATTTCTAAAGATAATCTTAAAATGGCAGAAAGGTTTTAATCTTTAAAAGACAAGTTGATATGTTTGGGGAAAATAGGAAGTTATCTCCAGGAAGGTATAATCTGAAAACACATAGGTGAATAGCAAGTTAGCATAAGCTTATATATAATAAAATAAAAATCATGATTTACAGTACAAGTACACATAACATAATATTTTCTGTTATCCTAACAGCACATATCTATAGATACGAAAACTGCAGAGATGGTTCTTAGCATTCTGCATACACAGGGCACATTTGTAGCATTTGGAGATGAAAAACGTAATGAAGAGCAGTAATATGAAGAAATGGGAAAAACCCTTTTAAAAAAACTAACATTTAAATCAACAGTTTTATATAATATTTGGTATGTACAGTAGACACCAAAGTACAAGGGGAATGAGGGATGTCATAAGAAGTTCTGTCTGAATGAACATAGTGAAGGGCAAAGAATTCAAATAATAAAAGACAAAAAAACCCCTATTCTGTCTAAAAAATTCCTAGAAGTGAGAAATAGTAAATGAAAATAATTAAATTTATTAAATCTGTATGCATAAACAAATTAATTACTTTGAAACAAAAAGTCTCCTCCAGCTCTAACTTGTTATTGTAGTTGTCCACTTGCACCCTATTGTTGCAATAAATCAAAATATCTAATTAATCTAATCTAATTAAATTGTCAGTTATAATCCTGATAAAAACTGGTTTACATTAAATTGGAAGCAGATATGCAATGCTTTCTGATAACACTGGTAGTGCTTTCTTGTAACAATTTCAAAAGGCAGAAACTATCAGCAATCCTAATAATTTTGCATCAACCAAAGCAGTCATGTTAAGCTATGTTCAAAGAAACACATTAATATTACCTATGCTTTGTTGCCAGAAACTAAACTTTGAAAATTATAATTAATTCACTCAAAACAAAACCTACTATATTTATAAACGTCTCTTTTGCCAACAGGTCACACATTGAAAAGTCACAGTTTCAGCAGGGCAACCAGCTAACATGGGTTAATTCCAAAGTCATCCTTCAGTTTTGTAGAGTTAATGTAGCTCTCTGCCTTATTTCACACTATGTATTTTCACTAGTGAAAAGAGTCAAAGCAACATAGAATGCTATCTCATACTGAAAATAACCATATCAGACTATCACAGAAGATAAGTTTCTGTGAGCATCTGTAGAACTGAATACTTTTATTCAATAAAAAATTCCATTTTATAAGTCACAATACCAGAAAATATTAACATGTGTTTAATGTGGAGAGAAAGGAGTTCAGGAATAGATCCAGTAAGGTTCTTAGGTTTCTTGACTGTAGTCATTATCATTCTAACACTTTCCAGCCAGAATAAAATCTAAACTGTAAAAGAAAATATTTTCCCTGTATGAAAGCATGAGGAAAACCAGATATTTCAGAAATATTATCCAAAAAACCTACACGCTGTTAACACAGCCATGTAGATACAGCTCACAGAAGATGCCATGTTTTGAACTTAGTTGCCAAAATCAAGGATGCAAGGAGGATGTTTCCACCCACTCGGGATCCAAAGCCTTGTGTTTTGTCCTGACATAATATATCTTAGAGGGGTTTTTTAAAGAATTGAAGAGGGATAAGGTGAAAACTGTTTTTTCATTTCCTGGAAATCTAAGGAAACTGCTAGGCTTACGTAGGAGCTAACTAACAAGTCACTCAGACCATGCAGTTCTGAGA